AACTACATACGCGTCCAGGGTAAGACGATAAACTCCATCCGCGTCCTGGGTAAGACGATAAACTACATCCGCGTCCTGGGTAAGACGATAATCTACATCCGCGTCCTGGGCAAGATGATAAATTACACCCAACAGCAAGACCTCTGATCAGGAAGTTTTGAAGAACGTGGAACCACTTCTTAATTGCTGGTGTTCCCAGATCCCCAGCTAAGGGCAAATAGTTAACCCCCAAACTGGGGTCAAGATACTATGAAAGTGTAAAAATAGGTTTTAATACCAGCAATACATTTTTGTAAAAAAAATTATTACCAGCAATGAATTTTTGAATGAAGAAATTATTACCAGCGATACATTTTTGACAAAAAATATTACCAACAATAAAAATATTGTCAGTATTAAATAACCCATTGAGGTTGATATGCCGTAAAACAAACCAACGGAAGAGGATTTTCAACACGCAAGAAAGTATAAGACAGCAAGGCATTTATTGTACATTCTAAAGAGAACAAGAGCCTGTTCGAGAGTACGTTTGTTAAGGACAAATACGTGGATAACATCAGGTCTACATAAATTGAAAATTTATATATCCGTTTATTCTTTATTTAAAATAAAACATTTGGTAACACAAAGCTTTGTTTTCTTTCGTTGAACAGATCAGCTAGTCCATAGATTGCCCTGTAAAAAGTCAGGGATCGATTTTACATACTATCAATATCATGAACAGGACCCCATTTTCTAAATTGAGAAAAAATCAATATGATTTTATTTCTGACAAACGGGGATGGTTTAATAAAGGCTCATCTCCAAAATTATTCCCACCACCAAAAACATTTTCCTCATTATATATGAGCGGACCAGCATACTTAAGCATTGCTAGCAATCAAATCAACCAAATTAATCAACCATTCGCCCTTGTATGCAATATTGCTACCATATATGTTTTAGAGCCCATTATGTTTGTCTCAATGTCCTTGATAAAATCCAGAGACGGATATGCAATGTAATTGGCCCTGATCTGGAATCTCTTCAGCAGTCGCTCTCTCACAGACGTGCCGTCGCCTCCCTCTGTCTTTGTTACAAATACATTCATGGTAACTGCTCCGATGAGCTGCTTTCGCTGGTTCCCAGACTTCATGAATTTAAGCGTTCAACTAGGCTGGCATCTCGCTCTCATCCTTTACTGTCGAAACTGTTAAATGTAGCCGTCTCTTCTACTCCAATAGCTTCATGTCTCGAACCTCTCGCCTGTAGAACTCCCTCCCCTCCTCCTGTTTCCCTGATAGCTATAATCTCCAAATATTCAAATGCAATATCAATCGACGTCTCCAGATGCCCTGAACTATCCCCCATCCTTCTCTTCATCCTTTCCTCTATCACTCCTCTTTGCTCTCGCTCCAACTCTCTGTAACCCCTTGCGTGCTAGTGTCTTCCCACCTTGCTTGGGGTGAAACGCTTATGAAGAAATATACTCTTAAGGTGTGCTACATTTATGGGATAAAGTGCTCAATATTAGAGATAGAGCGTGTGTAAATATAAAAGTGAACATTGAAGTCAACACTTAGAGGCGACATATATATATATTATATATATATATATATATATATATATATATATATATATATACAAGGGGGTTCAGAGTAGCATGAATACATCCGGCTCTTATCTCAAATAACAACTTAAAAGAGACTGTTTTACCTACACAAAGACTGACCAAAATTCATGTTTAAAAAATTTTAAAATGTAAAAAACAAATGAAAACTACAGACAAAAGTTCATTTTCTCCATCAAGACATTCATTTCTGTAGTTCACTGCTACCATGATGATGGCCATGTTGGCCGAAACTAGTCGAGGAATCTAAATGAAATAATAATAAAAACGTAGAAATATTAATATACAAGTGTGCTTGAAGATTTTAATTTTTGGATTGTTCATATATATATATATATATATATATATATATATATATATATATATATATATAGGCGTTTTTTGTAGAGTTATATATATATATATATATAACTCTACAAAAACGGGTTACCTCAGATTTAAATGAGTTTTTTAAAAGTATAACTCTATCGTTTTGATTTCAAGCTATTCAGTTGGATTTGATATTTACAATAAAGAAAATACTTTTTTCTGTATTTCAAATGTAACTTAAATTGACAAAAAGATTTGCTTTGAAAAGGGTAACAATCGCCAAATCTAGTTTAAATCAACTTTAGCGACATTGTTACTCATATTTCATCGCAATGTAATTCACTTTGTTAAAAGGCCTCTTTATTAAAAAAAAAAAATTTCAAAAACGAAATCTACTTCTCTGGAACTTTATTTGAGGAATATTAGCTGATGCAAAGTTTAATTAATCTTATTTAAAACAAATATTACTTTTATTCCAACTCTCTTGTAACCCCTTGCGTGCTAGTAGCTTCCCGCCTTGCTTGGGGTGTAACGCTTAAAAAAAACAATAGGAAATAAACAATCGCTTGTTCTAACGGGATGTTTAGCAGGATCGACTTACATACTAACTCACTAACGTAGCATTTTTCCTCTGATAAAATAAATAAAATGAATAAATATAAATACCAAAATCATCTAAATTGTAGAAATGACAATTATACTCCACTGTCTCTCTTTATATATTGCCTTCCCTCGTAAATCGCTTTCTTCCTCGGATACCCGCGCGTCTCATATTTTATTCAGGGAGAGCAAGTATCGGTTGTGGCAAATAGGGCAATTATAACATAAAACGTATTTGAGTTTTATAATCTCTTTGAACATTTTAATTCTTCACGGACCAGTGAGCTTTCGCTGTGGTTTGGCATTTAATTTCTTAATTAATTTATCTAATTTTAAGCCTGTTATAAGGTTTATGAGTCGCGTAACGAATAGCGAATCTAGTGTTCGGGTTATGCCTTTGCGTGTTTTTTTATGGCTTTCATTACGTAATTAGTTTTTGACTCGAGTATTTTAAAGCAAATCCTCGCAAAATCGATAAATCTATTGGCGTTTTAAAAATATACGATTATCGAAGAAAAAATATATGTCACATTTATTCGAATGTTTTAGTTTTAATCTGCAATAACTTGTTAGAATTTGTTCTCTACAATGAGCGAGTCGACTTATTTGACAATTAAATCTTAAACGGTATAAAATGTGTCTATGTATTGCTTATATATATATATATATATATATATATATATATATATATATATATATATGAAAATTTCTCCGATTTAATCGGTAGAGAAGACAATATTTATGAATAAAAATGACAATAGGAAAACTGGTAATTGCTGACGTGTTTCGTCAATGTGGACTTTATCAAAGCAAAATACAAATTTTTTTTTCGTATTTTGCTTTTGATAAAGTCCACATTGGACGAAACGCGTCAGCAATTACCAGTTTTATTGTATTTATATTATATATATATATATATATATATATATATATATATATATATATATATATATAATATATAATTATATATATATAAATATATATATATATATATATATATATATATATAAATATATATATATAAATATATATATATATATATATATATATATATATATATATATATATATATATATATATATATATATATATATATATATATTGTTAACAAGTAAATCTTAAACAGTATAAAATGTGTTTATGTATATATATATATATATATATATATATATATATATATATATATGCATGTATATTATTTTAGGATATCACATCAAAAAATATTTTCGATATATGCTAATATCCGAATATCCGGAAATAAATAATATTGTTCTACTCTGTATTGAGTCCTCTTTTAAATTAAATGTTACGAACTTTGGAATTGTACTCTATTTGTTCTCAGCGTACCTGGATATATATATATATATATATATATATATATATATATATATATATATATATATATATATATATATATATAAGTGAAAAAATCGAAAAATATAAGCAGTAATTTTCTGATACCCCCTAACGAGTAGATGAACAGGTCCGTGTACGAAACTCTAAAGTCGGTATACTGAAGGCAACATCAATGTGTGCGTGTGTGTATTATTCTATTATCGTTCGTGGAGCTGTCAAATACAGTGGTGTTATGACAGATGATTCCAAGAGCATACTTGATAATCGCCTCGGGCATGAATGTTTAAAATAGTGATTGCTGTGAGTAAAAAGAAAAGAAAAAAGAAAAATATATCCTAAGTGAAACTGCATATATGTATCACCTACTCATTCTAGACAATTTTTCTCACCCCAATTTATCTCACCTATTTCGAAATCTCCATGATTTGTGTGTCGGTGTCTCCCTCAACATATTTAGACATCCCTTGGAAAATTAAAAAAGGAATGTTACTGGTCCTGACCTGGCATCTCGGCTTCAGTTATTTTCCCAATGATCCAACGTAGGTTCCTTGAGAGTTTTCTATAAATATTTTCATGGTAATTGTTATGATGAACTTTCCCTATGGTATCCTAACTTTATGAATTTAAAAGCAGCTCTCAATTGGCGTTAAGGCTTTATGATTTTACAATTGAAATGGTTAGATGATAACAGTTTCTTTTCTCGCACTTATCGCTTGTGGAACTCCCTTTTGGCTTCCTGCTTTTCAATCAAGGTTGATCTTCAAAGATTTAAATGCAATGTCAAACGTTATCTTCCGTCTTTTTAATTCATGTTATTTTATTGCGCTCGCTCCTTGTTTTTCCTTATATTCTGTCACAATATGCGTCTTATTGCTGTTGTCGCTTTGACTGGCATGAAATATATATATATATATATATATATATATATATATATATATATATATAATGATGAAAGCGGTTACTTTAGAAAGCCATGATAATATTTTATTTCGCGTGATTCAATCGATCTTGTCTCATCAGATCAAAAAAATTTTTACAGCAATAAACTAATTTTAAATTTATCCATGCACAAGCGAAAAATAAAAAAATATATATTTTTCAAGAATTAAAAGAGAAGATACAGATTTTAAAGTTTTAATAAAGCGGAAGGGGGAGAGAGAAAGAGGAAGAAAGATATGGAGAGAGAGAGAGAGACAGTGAGAGAGATGGTGGTGGGAGAGTAAGCTAATGAAAGGAATGGAAGCTGTAGCGAAAATGATATGACAAGTAAAAAGAGAATATATTCAAATGGGTCATAGGAAGAGGCAGAAGAGAAGGAAAAAGCTGTCTTTGGATTTACATTCTTTTTGGAATTATCCATTCTAATTATCAGACAATATTATTTATTCATATATTGGTACAGTTGGTACGACGTTTGCCTCCTATCGCAATTGTTCGGGTTTCAATTCTCGGTAGTGGATGCGCACTGTTGACGAGTCCCAAATATAGGACGAAACGGCTGTCCAGTGCATTCTGTTGAGGTTTCTTCTAGACTCGATGAATTACTTAATTATGATTATTTCAAATCCTCCTAATTATCTCTCTCTCTCTCTCTATATATATATATATATATATATATATATACCTTCGTCTGATCTAGACTCATATGGATTTCATATATGGCGTTGTGGGCTCGTCACTCATCATAACAGCAGAAATTAGCCTTCTGTTCACGGAGATATAAGCATACTTGACAGGAAATAAAACATACACGAAAAGCATGGTAAATTGTATGTTTATTTATAATTTTTGCCTGAATTACAATTGCTTTATGGTACATGTGATAAAAGGGAGAAATTACTCCGTGTATTACAAGCCATATCACAGAGAGAAGTTGGACACGTGTTGCCCGTACCAAGGCCCGTCTTTTGGCGATATATCTATATTTCCGACAAGAACAATTTTTGTTGTATATTGGGAGTATTTTATTTATTTATCTAATTTATTTTATACGTTATGTTTTCTTATATTTAATTTATAAATTTCATTATTATTATTATTATTATTATTATTAATTTCATTTTTATTTATTTATCTAATTTCTTTTATACATTGTATTTTATTTTATTTATAATTTTATCATTATTATTATTATTATTATTATTATTAATTTCATATTTATTTATTTATAATATTAATGTCCATACAGATTCCAGCTCTTTCAGGAATGTCTAAATTATCAGCTATATACAACTGTTTTCCCATATATATTTTTTTATTTATCTATTTGTTTTGTTTTACGGCATATCAACCTCAGTGGGTCATTTAATGCCCACAAGATTTTTATTGCTGGTAATTTTTTTTTTTTCAAAAATGTATTGCTGGTAATATTTTTTCTTCAAAAAAATTATTGCTGGTAATTTTTTTTTACAAAAACATATTGTTTGTATTAAAACCTATATTTACACTTTCATAGTGTTTTGATTCGATTTCGGTGGTTAACTATTTGCCCATAGCTGAGACCCTAACAGGTGCTACCACTCCGGGTCAGGGTGCGCCTGGGAACACCAGCAATTAAGAGGTGGTTCCAGGCTCGTCAAAACCTGATCAGAGGCCTTGCTGTTGGATGTAGTTTATCATCATACCCTGAACGCGGATGTAGTTTATCTTCAGACCCAGTATGGATATTTTTATCATTTTTTTATTTAATTTTTAGTTTTCTTAGCTATGTAATATCAAATTCTCCTTATATATCGTAGTGAATATTGGACAATTTCCACATACGAAGAAAAGATTCGAGGAAACATTAATGTGGTTCTACAGAAGGATACTGAGAATGCCCGCGTTAATGTATGAGACTAACTAGGAAATTTTAGAGAAAATGTAAACTAAAAGAACGCACAGCATCCGAAAGAGACAAGTGAAATTTCTAGGTTACATAATGAGAAAAGAAGACTTGGAAAATTTGACACTCATAGGACATACTGAAGGCTAGAAGGACATACTGAAGGCTAGAAGGAAAGAAGAAAATAATGAGGAAACTTATTAAGGAGATTGTGCTAATGGATGCCGGAACAAGATGGAGGTGGCTTAGTAAAAACAAACATTGCTAAGGGCTACAAATTATAGGATGCTGTGGAGAGCTATGATAGTCTATGCCTGGAAGGTCTCGTTAAGCAGAAGAATGATTTCTTTTATCAGTAGATTTTTGTCACCCCCACCTTAAAAAAATCATTATTTGTGTAATAATAAAGACATATTTATGATAACAATGTATACGCTTCATCTAAAAAAATTATTAAAAAAATCGACTGCGTAATTTGTGTTTATAGTTTTAGCCTAAGGAATTTATAGCCCGATTTTAATTTGAAATTAATAAAAAAAATAAACATTATTATTAATGGATAAGAAAGGAAACATTAATAAATAAACGAATGCAATCCTTAAATTTGTAACTCTGCAAAACCACCCAGGAATATAAGCCCAACAAAGTCTGCATAACAATTAAAGCCAATTTGTCGCTTTCACTAAATTTAATTCTCTTCTGCATCATAAATTAATCCGGACGTTTGAAGGCCCACAAGGGATTGCGTGGGGTGGTGGATACGGACAGTTCCAGAAGATCTGACCGGTCCGAGAATAAAATTTCTCATGTGGTATTTAGTTTATGACAGGATATTAAAATGTTGACTCCAGTAAAAACCCTTAAATACCAGAAAAGTCTACTGAGCGTTTACTTTATTTTATTGTGGATCTGAATATTAATGGCATCGACGGGTTTTCTCTACAGATCAAGTGGCAACAAGTCTCCACAATATTCCAGGACCTTCCCCAGTTTAATACTGCCTTATGCGGCATATTTATTATCACTGTTTTATCTTAGGGAACGTCGAGACAGTGTAATGGTTAATAAGCGTGTTTCGCTAGAACAATTACGACTAAGTAGTGAGTTCGATCCTCACTGGGTGCACCATACGTTGGGCCTTGTGGCACATCTAGGCCACGCTTGGAAAATCACTATTACGGTTTTATATTTCAGGAATAACTTGAATAAATTTCTCGAACATTTATGACCTTACCATGTTTACAAACATTTCGAACATCCACGATGATTGTTCATTTTGTGCACGTATCATGATAGCTAAATAAATGTCTTTCTGGATTTACCACTTTTTTACTGGGTACCCCCTACTGCTACTACTACTATTATTATTATTACTTCCTTTGATTTCTGGTGTGTACTCATTTCTTTCCGGGTCCCTGAGATCTAAGATCAGAAATGGCATCATGACATTTTCCACTGAACACATATTTTACATAGATAAAGCCCTTCGTAAAGTGTAGACTGTACTCGTGAGAACAATTTTTTTGTATTTATTTAAGGCATGGACTTCCAGGAATCCCTTCAATTAGTCTACTAGAATCTTTTCCAATCAATCCGAGGGATCCAACTACAACAGGGATTGTTGATGTTCCCATATGCCACATTTTTGAGATTTCGATTTCAAGGTCCTTGTATTTTGAAAGCTTTTTGAATATCTTCAAAGATACATTGCAGTCTGCAGGGACTGCCATATCAATAAGGAGGCACTTTTTTTGTTTGCGGTCTCTAATAACAATATCTGGGCGGTTAGCTTTGATTGTTCTGTCAGTGTGTATTGTGTAGTTCCATAGAATTGTAACAGATCCTATCTCCGTAACCGGGTCTGTACGGTGCTGATAGCAAATTCTTTCAGACTTTTAGCATGAGTGAGTTATTTAAAAATGTAGCTAGCATAAATATAAACAACCCAAGTCAGATATCCTGACAGTCTCCCCTAGCATGGAATGCGACTACTGTTTCTTTTCCTGGAAATTCTCCATGTACCAGCACCAGTAAGCGTATCCCACATTGACAAGCACTGATCTCTTATCTGACCTAGCTCTAACAGCTCAATAGATAAATATCTGACTAATCACAGTGAATACATCAAAAAACAAACATCTAACATTCCATTATCACGGAGAAGACCCTGAATTTTTCAGACCTCGTGTGGAATTCATATATAAGTATCTATCACTAAAGATGCTGGAAAAAAGGTCAGTTCCCTGTTCTGCTCCAGTTAGTACCTGACTCCTCCCGCTATGCTTTACCTTTACAAGAGACAGATCAGACTGAAAAATGGAGTACTGTTTTAATATCTGGGTTAACGCTGCGCAGTCTTCACTTTCCAATCTTGATAAAGTTCAAAAATGTTTACACAGCCTTACGGGTGATGAATTTCTACCCTAAAACACCTTGCCGCCAATCTTGTATTGCGCTTGAATTCATAAAGTCTAGCTACCATAGCGAAGAATTCATCCGAACAATTATTATCATTGTATATTTGATTTTGTTGAAATATATATCCATGAAAATGGCTTTTTAGTATTCCTAGGTGTGATTCCCACAAAGTCACACGCCACAGCAACATGATGGTGTTACATACGTATTTCATTTCACTGTTTTGCTTTTCATTATATCACCTTCATTAATTACATAGCAATGACTTTTAACATTGAGCAATCGAAAAATGTAACCATAATAAATATAAGATAAAATAAAAATATTAAAAAATAACAATAATAACCCTGTCAGTTATCCCGACAGTCTCCCCTGGCGTGGAATGTGACTACTATTTTTTTTTCTCTCCTAGAAACACCTCGTGTACCGGCAGATGATATCTTGCGTACCGGCACCGGTACACGTCGGAGACTTTGAGTAGCATTAACCTAGGAGACATGACCAACAAGTTACGGTCAGGCAAATGACAACTAAGTCTATGGTATTGACCGAGTTATTTACTGTAGCTTGTTGTGACCAAATAAATGGTTAAGAAATAACAAAACAAGAGGTTGCAGATAAATAGTGGGTTGAACAGTAAATACGACAGAAGTGGGTTACACGACTTGGGAGTGTGTGTCGGTTGACCAGCGTTCAGTTTATATCACTATTCCCCCGAGGTTTACTTTACCTACTAACTTTATAGCAAGTGGAGGAGTCCACAATAGCCTCATTAGAAGAAAGACACCACAACATAGCTCATCATTCTCAAAGAAAAAACCATAGTTAATACCGACAAAGAATTAATATCAGAATGCATGTGAGCCTTCTCACATATCATTATCGTGTTATAATTCTTCGTGTCTCTTCCTTAGCGCGACCGTTACGTCCTGTCAAAACCTCATCGCTACCTGACATGAAAGAAAAACAAAAAGAATAGAAGAGTGAAGGGTTGAACGTCTCTATCAGTGGAACGGAAAAAAGTTGGCAATTTCGAATCTTTTCATTTGTATTCCCGTACTTCTTTAAATGACGACTCGCATTCATATTTATGATTGTTATTGCAATATTTTGTTAAAATTGTTAAGCTCAAATATCTACCGATGCGATAGGAGAAGTTCTACGCGTATTTTATTGTCGTAGAACTCTCCAAGAGCTTATTCAATCATTAACTAAAGAATTAAGATTCGCAAGAAAATTCTAATAGAAAAACCATTTAATTTTCACGGATATTCCAAATTATTATTATTATTATTATTATTATTATTATTATTATTGTTGTTGTTGTTGTTGTTATTTTATTTCCTTTGATTTCTGTCCGCATTTCGTTCCGGGTCCCGCCCAGAGACCTAAGGTTAGAAATGGCATCATGACATTTTCCACTGACACAAACAAAAAAAAAAAAAAAGAAGAAAATATTTTACATCGAAAAAGCGCTTTGTAAGGTGTGGGCTGTACTCGTGAGAACAATTTGTTGTCTTTCTTTAAGGCATGGGCTTCCAGGAATCCCTTCATTTAGTCTACTGGAATCTTTTCCAACTACAACAGGGATTGTTGATGTTTCCATGTGCCACATTTTTGAGATTTCGAATTCTTCTTCTTCTTCTTATTATTATTATTATTATTATTATTATTATTATTATTATTATTTCCTTTGATTTCTGATGTGTACTCGTTTCTTTCCGGATCCGGCCCAGGGACCTGAGGTTAGAAATGGCATCATGACATTTTCCACTGATAAAAAAAAGAAAAAAAATTACATAGATAAAGCCCTTCGTAAAGTGTGGGCTGTACTCGCGAGAACAATTTTTTGTATTTCTTTGAGGCATGGGCTTCCAGGAATCCCTTCAATGAGTCTACTGGAATCTTTTCCAACCAATCCGAGGGCTCCAACTACAACAGGAACTGTTGATTTTCCCATGTGCCACATTTATTATTATTATTATTATTATTATAATTATTATTATTATTATTATTATTATAGTTGTTGTTGTTGTTACAATATTTAGGGCTATAATGTCATTGAGGTGACCTTCTGTCATTTGAAGACACATCGACACATTCCTCTGAAGAAACTCATTAATATCTCATGTAGAAATTAATAATAATAATAATAATAATAATAATAATAATAATAAGAAGAAGAAGAAGAAGAAGAAGAAAGCTGTGAAAACTGAAAAATAATCTTAACATCAAGCGTAAGTAAATCTAAAGCGCATGGAACAGCTCACATCCTGAAAGAAAGACTACTAATGGGATCTGGGATGAAAAGGAGAAAGATTAATTAATTCATTCATTTTTTACGGCTTATCAACCCTTTGCAGTTTATTTAAGGCCAGCATTCTTTTTTAGATTGTAAAAGTTTATTTTTGGAGATAATAATGATTTATTGATACAATTCTTACTAATTAACCCATAGCTCGGAAAAAAAGAGGTGGATTCATATCTCACCCAAGGGTATTTGCTCGTAAGTGAATATAACGTACCCCGCTGGAATCGGAACTCGGTCCTCCAAATAACAACTTCGAAACATTAACCATTACACCACCCGCATATCCGAGTTTACAGCACGTGGTATTTCCAAGCGATCACCCATCTAGGTACTAAGCAGGCTCGACGTTGCTTAACGCGTTTCAACGTAAAGTGACCGTAAGTCTGATAACGAGAAAGGGACAGGGTATCTGAGAAAATTGTCTGCAAATGTTAATGACGATCAGATGTAAATTATAATGCAAGAAAGTATTATAAAGATAGTGGAGAGAACTGCTGCTCTTATGATACCTGCTGTCACTTGACACCTTTTTAGAAGCCACCAGATATTACTGCTAGAAGACTCACTTAATGTTAACAAGAAGAATGCATCATATTAGTTGGAGAAGGAGGAGAAGGAGGAGGAGAAAGACTACTGCCTAGGAAATGATGACGTTTTTGAATCGTCCATTATTTCTTTTCCTTTTCTTTGCTTTTTTTTTTTTTTTTTTAAACGGATGGCGTGATACGGTGCATGTCTCGGCAAATATTTGTGCAGACATGCTAACAAGTTTTGAAGCCATTTGTCGAAATGATTCTAACCTCTCGAAAACATCCATCAAAAGGAAGTCGTTTTCGCAAATTTGAAATGACGGGTTGATGGATTTCATTTCATTTTTACGACCAATTTTTTTTTCTATTTGATTTTATTTTGTATTTAAATTGCTATTTTTTCTTTCCTTTATGCATTTTTAAATAATTCTTTTTCTTTTTTTTTTTTATTTCCATGAAGAATAAAATTTTTCCAATCACAAAAGAAATAAATGAAAGAAAGAAAAAAGAAAGAAAAAAAGAAGGAAAGAAAAAGAAGGAAAGAAAAAAGAAGGAAAGAAAAAAGAACAATAAATGAAAAAAAGAAAAAGAAAGAAAAATAGAAAGAAACAACGAAAAGAAAAGGAAGAAATAAAAGAAAGGAAACAGAAAGAAAAAAGAAAACAGAACGAAAAAAGAATGAAACAAAAAAGAGCCAGAAAAAAGAAAAAAAGAAAAAAAATAAAAGAAAGAAATAAAAGAAAAAATAGAAAGAAAAAAAGAAAGAAAAAACAAAAAAGAGCCAAAAAGAAAGAAAGAAAAGGAAGAAAATAAAAGAAAGAAAGAAAACAGGAGGAAAAAAGAAAGAAAGAAAGAAGAAAGAAAAAATAAAAGACAAAAAGAAAGAAAAATAAATAAAGGAAAGCACAATAAAAGAAGGAAAAAAGAAAAAGAAAGAGAAAAAGAAAAAGAAGGAAAATGAAAAAAAGAAAAAGAAAAAGAAAAGAAAAAGATAAAAGAAAGAAAAGAGAAAAAGGAAGAAAGAAAGAAAGAAAGAAAGAAAGAAAGAAAGAAAGAAAGAAAGAAAGAAAGAACACAAGATGCAGAACGCATTAAAAGCTTCTCTCTCACACAGAAACGTTTCTGGACACATGCGAGCGTTATGTCTGTATAACTCACATTACAAGAGGAATTTTACAAAACCGGATTCCCAATTATATATTACACTTTATTTATAGCGAGATAAAGACATATAAATGTTTATATTATTAATGATTTCCAAGTGATTCACAAGAGTGAACACACTAATATTGTTTTATCTGACACAAAACCTCAACAATTTCAGAATATTTGCCTTTTATTCAATAGTAATGCAACAAAGTATTGATCAGCTTCTGCACAGTTTGCATTTGTACTCATGTATAAGCATGTTTTATATGAATGAACATATATATATATATATATATATATATATATATATATATATATATATATATATATATATATATATATATATATAACGGAATGGGCAAATATCAACAGCCCTTGTTTGTTTGCAATTGTTCCAAATTAAACTACAATTCATATAACTATGATAACTTCAATCATATTCCAACCTAACAATAATATATCACATGTGAACTAGAAACTCTTTTAAAAAACCGGTGTCGATCCAAAATGTAAATACAAATAAAAATAAATATATTTCAAGCAATTGAAAATTGTTTCGGTATTAAACTCAGAGTTGTGCAGTTAATGTAAAAGATTATATATGTATATCTATAAATATATATATATATATATATATATATATATATATATATATATATATATATAGAGAGAGAGAGAGAGAGAGGTGGAGATAGATAGATAGATAGATAGATAGATAGATAGATAGATAGATAGATAATATTAGTGGACAATATATATATATATATATATATATATATATATATATATATATATATATATATATATATATGAATTCCCAAGAGGATAGAATCCAGCTAGAACTCAATGTCCGGGACAGAGAAAAGAATATAATATAAAAGGCTGAAACACTAATATTCCATGGTTATAATTTATTACATTGGAATCGTAATTACGATCAATTCATCAGCCTACAAATTCAAAAAGCTTTTTGAATTTTTAGGTCAGGATGTACTGGATATTCATATATATATATATATATATATATATATATATATATATATATATATATATATATATATATATATATATATATCCATTATATTAACTTACGTGCTAATACTCATGGGAAGACTTTTCTTCTACCGCCAGCTATGGGTAAATAACAGAATGGACTGGTTTCTATTGTCTTGGATGGCAACTGGGATAAGAGAAGGACAACTCTGAATTCAAAACTTGCAGAGTGCCGTTTGGGGACCTTGTGGCACGTAGTGCACCAGGTCTCTGTATTCGGCCCTCCAGAAAAGATGGATGGTTTTTCACAAAACCTTCACCGCTATAATCAAATCTTACGTGCTGGTGTCGGTCTGTCGCTTCCTAGGAACTGAGTGTGTGTGTGTGTCTGTGAAATATCGCACATTGGTAATAAAAATTAATAAGTGTGTGCATACGTATATATAAGATGTTATATTGTGAATAAATTACACTTAAGATATCATCAACTGCATCTATTCGAAGATGTATACTGATATATATATGTATATATACACACACACACACACACCATATGGGAATTTTTTAGATATATTTTTCATATGTATGTATATTTTCCACTAATATATATATATATATATATATATATATATATATATATATATATATATATATATATATATATATATATGCATTGACATTTTTATGAAGACTAGCGAAAATGTTGATATGTACATAGATATTATATATTCTTTATTGCATGTAAACATTTGTATATCTGTGTAAATGTAGATTTTTTACATATGTATATGTGGGTGTGTCATTTATATTTGAAATTATATACGCTCTATCTCCGATATTGAGCACTTTACTCATAATTGTAGCACACTTTTTAAAATTATATTTCTTCACACACACACAAATATATATATATATATATATATATATATATATGTGTGTGTGTGTGTGTGTGTGTGTGTGTGGTGATCAATCCATTGGTATATAATCCGGGTGGATCCTCGTAATATTAATTATTAAAACTTAATCCACAGAGAGCTCGATATTTTTTATTTTATTTTAAAAGAGCATATGTATTTTTTTACAGCAAAAATCTAAAAATAACCTCAACAAAGAGATAGTATATTTCAAGCTGTTCTGTACACGGCTATCATCAGTCTCTAAGTGTCTGTCTCGGAACATTGTTTTAAATTTATTTTCAATGTCAGTCCTACTCCCGTAGACGCCTTGTTAATGAGTTGCGTACTAACGAGCCTAAGAGAATAAGAGGTCAATAGCGAAAGCTCAATTGGTAGACCGGAGGACTGGACGAAAGCAAGAACTTTAATCTACTTCGGTCATCGCAAACGACAGGCGAACAGAATTCCCCTCCCCACGCATAATATATATATATATATATATATATATATATATATATATATATATATATATATGAAGAAATATATATTTTAGGTGTGCCATATTTTTGGGATAAAAGTGCTCAATATCAGAGATAGAGCGTATGTAATTATAAAAGCGAACATTGAAGTCAACAAATCGCATGAAAATAGCCTGTCGCCTCAGGGTGTTGACTTCAATGTTCAAATATATTCGTTTTTGAAATTGCAGAATTAGTAAAAAATCGAAGTTCTTATTTTTTCTTCTTTTTATTTTTATTTTTTATTTTTTTACTCCTAAGGCTGGGTATTATACACACCTGCCAAACTCCATGAGTTTTGGCGGTAACCGTGTTGCTTCAGCTGTCTTTGATTTGATTACTCTTGTCTGAGAAGTCACACCCGTGCGCGGAACCGCATTGATGGAAGCCTTCCTTCAATTGCTATATGTAAAGGAGTAAATATCTGCTAATAGTATCACACCGTAACCCTGAATTTCATGCTAAGTGATCGTCGGACGATATGAACGGCATAGTCTGAGAATCGATAGCGCGAGACTTATTGCATTGGAACAATTAGGAACGGATTCCATGATCGGTGTGTGGTTTGTTAGCGTTACTTCTGTTTTAGAGGCATTGATCTGTTTTTGTTTTTTTGTTTTTTATTGTTTAGCGGCATATCAACTCCTTATGGGTCATTTAATGCCGAAATTTAATTTTCTTGAGAACATTAGTAATTTCTTTTAGAAAAAAAATATATTGCTGGGATTTTTTTTCATTTCCAAAAATGTATTGCTGTTAATTTTTGAAACTATGAAAATGTATTGTTAATAGATTTTTTTACTATAAAAATCTATTTTTGAACTTTGTATTTAAATTTCTATTTTTCTTTCTTTTATGCATTTTTAAATAATTCTTTTTCTTTCTTTTTTTTTATTTCCATGAAGAATAAAATTTCTCCAACCACAAAAGAAAGAAAGGAAAGGAAGAAAAAAGAAAGAAAGAAAAGAAAGAACAATAAAAGAAAGAAAAAAGAAAGAAGAAAGAAAAAGAAAGAAAAAACAGAAACTGTTTAGAGTTCAACTAGTTGCCCATAGCTGGGACCCTAACAGGTGCTACCACCACGGGTTAGGGTAGACCTGGGAACAACAGCAATTAAGAGGTGGTTCCATGCCCTTTCAAACCTCCCTCTGCTGGATGTAGTTTATCGTTATACCCAGGACATTAACGGCATTGCGTATTTTTGTGCAAAACTTTTATACATCTGCAAGTTTTATTAAATTTAGACGGAATATGTTTTCAGAAAAAAAAAACGTAGCACTTAAGATTTCAATGACATATTGGGTACATCGAAATGAAGAAGATCCAGAAATTTACATATCTGGTTAATATCGTGACAGTTAACGAAAAATATGGCACAGAAATTTGAAGGCACATAGAAATAAGGAAAGATGCCTTCCGCAAATTATGTAAAGTATTAAGAGATCGGAACTTATCGCTAGAAACGAAGTAAAGCGTGCAGAACTGTTGTGCCAAATGTCATCTCCTACATGGCAGGGAATATTGGTTAATTTCCTCATAGATGAACAAAGATACTTAAACTGATAGAGATGTGGTTCTACTGACGAATAAAGAGATTACCAGAGTCTAAAAATATGAAATTTGCGGAAGTTTTAAGTAAAATACAAACGACATGGAGAATTCAGCTTACAATCAAACTGTTGAAATTTCTGTAAATTTCTCTTGAAATTTCTTGAAATTCCTGTCGTATTAAAAGTCGTATTACCCTTTGTATTGCTAATGACGGAGGACATGTGGAAACTTAAATAAAATTTCAATAAAACCCTAAAAAATATAGATTTATTTCTTTCTAATCGTTTTTACAAATTATTTCTATCGCAAATGCAAATAAAGTTATACATTTTTAAAGTGCACACGATTTTATGGACACCCTGTATATTTGACACCATTTCCTGTTTCAAACTGCCCCTCTTTTCTCCATATCTATCTATCTATCTATCTATCTATCTATCTATCTATCTATCTATCTATCTCAGCCTTTTCTAATCTATCTATCTATCTATCTATCTATCTATCTATCTATCTATCTATCTATCGTGGAAATTTGTAGAAATTCCTGGAATTTTTTGTAGAAATTTCTGGAAATTTTTCTTGAAATTTCGTTAACGTATAATGAGGAAAGAAGGACTAGAAAAAGTAACACTCACAGGACAAAGAAAACGGTGCTGGAAAAGCGGGTATTCAACTTAACGAATTTATGCTAATGGCTACCTCAACGGAGATAAATGCTACTGTTAATGGCAATATTAGTTGTTTCCTTATAAGGCAGCATTTGGTATGCATTTACCGAGTAGCCAGTACTGCTGGTTAAAATTTATAGAATCTATCTCTTAAAATATTTCTTCTGGAAAAAAAAGGTTTCTCAAGTCCAGTAACTGTTATCGCTTATTTTTTCTTCTTAACGTATTCTTTGAATTGGTAAGTCAACTTCTTGATTATATCATTCATTATTTTCTCTTCGAGTTCCATGTGCTATCCATTTTAATTGTTGCTGCTG